TTTTTTTTTTTTTTTTTTTTTTTTTTTTTTTAAAGCCTCAGCACTTTAGTACAATTCCTTTGAAAAATTCCAGTCTTGTCTTGCCTGAATTAAGAAAAAACACAAAACCTACAGTCCAGGTCGGAAACGTGAGCCAAATCTTGTAGAGGCAATTCAGCTACCACTGGAGAACTCTGGGTTGAGCTGCGGGGCAAAGGGTTGGCGGAGGTCAGGAGAGAGTGAAAACACAGGCCTGGGGTGAGCAAGAATGTTACTGTCATAAGCTCCTCTTTGACTGTTGATGCAACATGAGTCATAAGGTGTGACTACTGCTTTCTACTCCATTTGTAAAATCCTTCTTGGAAGGGGCTGCTGGGACTCACCCCCAGGTCCCCAGGCCTGGGGTCTGCTTGGGAACTCTGCATTACTCTGCAAGAGCTGTGGATGGAGGAAGGAAACTCAGAGATGTGGTTCTTCTCTTCTCAGCCTGGAACCTGCTCACCCAACCCTTCCACTCCCTCCCACAGCCATTGGAGCAGCCAGACCATCCAGCCATGATGGGTTCAGCCCTGCGCTTCTGGCCCCATCACCCTTGTTCTCCAGGAACCCTCTCGGGGTTATCTGCCCAATGAACCTTTTTCACTTCAAGGTGACTGATGAAGGTCTCCTGGCTGGTTCCAGCAGGGTCCCAGGAGAACACAGCTTCATGTAGCTCCAGTACTGTAGATGGTTCCAAGGGGGGCTCTGGACAGGGAAGAAGTCGCTCACCCAGGGCTCTGCTCAGTTAGGAAGGGTACACAGGAGCCTGCCATTGACCCACCTGGCCCTTAGCCACCTGGCCAGGGCTGCTCAATCTCAGTCTGGCCTGCTCTGCTGGGATGCTACCTCCTTAGACTTCTGCTTGCACCATTTATGCAAAGGGCCCCTCCTTACCCCATGCCAGGTTCTGCCCCACAGCTTCCCATACCTGGGCTGTAGTATGCTTGAGGGTTGTAGACTGGAAGGTCCAGGAAATGCTGGATCCGGTCCAAGGACACTTTGGCCTCCAGGAGGCCATTGATGACCCAGGGGAAGTTGTTGAGGGGAAGAATAAGCATGCGCACCAGGGCCAGGGCTGTGAATACCTGAGTGGGTGGAAGGGAGGCCGCATCACTGGGTACCCAGGAACTGCCTAAGGCCTGCTCTAGAGTAGCCCTGTGGTCAGGTCTGTGGAGAGACCAGGGCAATAGCACATGTAGCTGGACGAGCTGGGGTTAGAAGTGGCAGAGGTGGACGTGCTGACTCCTAGAATTCTAGATGTTCCTCCAGGGCTCCAAGTTGCTTTTTTTTTGGTGCTGGGGGTCAAACCTCAGACCTCACACATGCTAAGCACATGCCTTATTACTGAGCCTCACCCTAGCTCCCCAGGTTGCATGGTGATAAGTGTGCAGGCCTATCTCATGCTGGAACCTCCAGAGTTTCTAAGTGACAACATCGCATGTTCCTGGCCAGATCCAGCACTGGATCAGGGGTCCTCGCACTGAAGGCCATTAATGAGGATAAAAGGCCTAACTAAGTCTGGGCTAGAAGCTGGAGTGGAAGGAGGTGAAGAGGAAGAAAAGGAATTCCTTCCAAGGTCCCAGAGAAGCCAAGCATGGTGGCGCACGCCTGTAATCCTAGCACTCCAGAGGATTGCTGTGAGTTCAAGGCCAGCCTGGGATACACAGTGAGTTCTAGATCAGCCTAAACTACATAGTGAGATCCTGTCTAAACAAACAAACAAAACAAAAACAAAAAACCCACGATCCTAGCATTTGAGAGGACAAGGAGCTAAGGATCCTCTTTCTTCCTCCTAGGACCCAGGGCCTGAGCCACATCTCCACTCGATCTCCCCTACTTTTTTCCAGTACCTTCCCACGGCCATTCTTACCTCCCAGGCCTCACCTTGGTGGCAGTAAGCTGGTGCCCCATGAGGACATAGGTGATGAAGATGACAATGGAGATGACAACTGGCAGGGCAGCCCACAGGTACACACAGGCTGCATCTAAGTATTTGATGATCCTTAGCTGCCCCAGCTCTTGGGCCCGGCAGGCTTCTACCCGGGTTGCCAGCGCTCGCTCCCACCCGAAGAACTTGATGACTCGAATGCCACTCAACAGCTCTGTCATGAGCTGGAGAAAGGGAAAAAAACAGCAGTGTGAAGTGGAGACACTGCTCATGTCTTCTCGCCTGCCTGTATGTTGATGGGATCCCCAGAGCACTGAGGACGCCAGCAGCCCCTCACCTTAACCCTTGCATCCTTGTGCTGCAGCATCTCCTGGTTGCTGGCCATGATACGGGTGGCAATTACTTTGTTGACAGGAACCAGCAGCAGTGCCAAGACCAGACCACCCACAAAGGCCAAGCCCACCTGCTGGTACAGCAGGTAAAGGGTGATGGCCAGCTGCAAGGGTAGCCCCCAGGCCTCGTGGAAGCTCTCAGTGAAGTTAAGCAGCCGTGTGGAGTCGGTGCCCAGCAGGTTGAGCACCTCCCCGGCAGGAGGGCGGCTGGGCCCCAGGTGCAAAGCCTTGTGGTACAGGACATTTAGCACAGCGCCCCAGGCCTGCAGTCTCACCTTCTGCACCTCATAGCCATACTGATTCTGTAGCACAGCACCAAGCACTGCACCACCACCTAGCCCCAGGGCATAGAGCAGACCATGGCTCAGTGGCTCCTGCCCTTCCTCCAAAAAGCCTACCAGCAGGGACAGCAACAGTGGCCCTGAGAATCCCAGCATGGTCCCCACCAGCTTCAGTAGGCCAAGGACCAGGTAGTACCGCCCAAAGGCCCCATACAGGGTCCTCCACAGCCGGGCCCCCTCCTGCCAGTGTGCCTGGAAGACACGGGCCACATAGGCCGGGTGTAGCCTGTGGGGCAGATGGCAAGTGTCTTGGGGCTGCCGCAGCTCTCCACGAGCCCCACGGGCCAGCAAGGGAGACAGCCAGGCATAAGAAAAGCGTGACAGCCAACTCTCTCCATCCTCAGCCACCTCGGGTTCTCTGCCCCCAGAAGAAAGGAAGGGCTCATGAGTCCAGGGTTCCTCCGGTGGCCCCCCAGGGGCTGCCCAGCCCAGGCCATAGGCCAAGACTGCTGCCAGCTGCAGAATGAGAAGACACAGACGGGCCAGGGGCCCTGGGCGTAGCGGGGGCAGAAAGGTGTCTTTCTGGCAATGCCACAGCAGAGTCAGCACCAGGGCAGGGGCAGGCAAGAAGGCTGCCAATGCCAAAGCACAGGGCCCTCGGGAGCAGCCACTAGGGGAATGCGCCAATACCCACAGGGCCAGGCTGTGGCTGGTCCAGGCCACCGCTGCCACGCACCCTGCCAGCACCTCCAGCCCTATGGGACCTGGGCCCGCTCCTGGTGGCAGAAGAACTGGAAGAAGGTCTAGCAGCGGGAAAATGGAGAGCATGAAGGCAGCTGCAAGTCGGAGGCGCCAGCCAGGACTGCAGGGTAGGATGTAATCTGGAGTCCTGGGGATTGGGAGAAGAGAACAGAGGAGGAACATCATGGCTGACTCAGGGACCAAAGATGGACCTCAACTCCAACTCTTACCTAGGGAATGACCTGCCTTTCCTGCTTTGCACTCCATTTAATTTGGAATCCCGGCCCTTATCACCCAGGAAGCCTTCCCAGACTGACCTAAGCCAATTAAATACACTGTCTGATTCATTCTTTATCACAGGCATTAACAACTTTGAGTTGTTTGTACCTATGATGAAGGGTCTAATTAAAAAAAAAAAAAAAAAAAGGTCTTTGAGGCTAGCTTGGAAAATTTGCAAGATCCAATTTCAAAACAAAAAGGAGCTACAGCTAAAGAACAGAGCATTAAGGGCCAAGGATTTAGCTCAGTGGTGCTGTTGCCTGCCTTGCAAGCACAAGATACCCAGTTTGATCCCTGGTACAAAAAAAAAAAAAAAGGCATTTAATCTGGGTGTGGTGGCACATGCCTGTAATCCCAGAACTCCAGAGGCTGAGGCAGGAGGACTGTCATGAGTTTAAAGCTAGCCTGGGGTATGTAGTAAGTTCAAAGCCAGCCTGGACTACATAGGAAGACCCTATCTCAAGAAACCAAAAACAAAAAGAGCACTTGCCTAGCATGTGCTAGGGTCCAATTCTCAGTAACCCAAAGAGTATGAATTTGTTATGCCCTTTGTTGGCATGGCTGAGTTACTTCATTAGTATATCAAAATATACTTTGGGTTTTCTTAAGAATCCATCTGATAGCAGTTAAACGGAGGGGTTTAGGTTAAAACCAAAGTCAACTTTTAAGATGTGGGAACAGAAGAAAGAACACTGCACCCTTTCAGATTGTATACTGGGCTGAAGTTGCAAATCCCTTTCCTCACTTGTACAGGAACAGTGAGCAGTTCAGACCCAAAGTGCTCTGATATCTTTTCCCAGCTGCAATCCTTGATCTCTCTAAACCTCACCAGCAAAGAACAAAGGCCTGCTAAGTAAAGTGAGACAGCCACAATGTCTATTGTTTACACGAAGATTTTTCTTACTTTCCCATTACATTAAGTTCTCAAAGGACTGTGTCAATTTTTTGTTTTTGAGGCTGGCCTCAAAGTCCTAAGCTCAAGCAATCCTGTCTCAGCCTAAGCAGCTGCGACTACAGGCACAGCATCTTACTACCAAGCCCAGCTAAACCTGGGCTGTTTTTAGCAGCTTCTCCTCTGAGCAGGCAGTGGATATCTGTGCCGAATAAGCCTCTCTAGGCCTTTATCTTGTCCCAGGCGAGGTACAAATAAAGATCCCTCCCAGACCAAGCACATCTGCTACACCTCCTACCCAAGGTAAGGGTTCATCATCTCCTTAATTCCCCTTGGGTGGAGACACTTTTCCCTTTGTCAACCAGGCACACCCACAGGCAGAGAGCAGGCTGCCCTCCTGCCTTTGCCATCTGTAGCTGGGTACAGACTAAAGGTGAATTTGGCCCTGGCAACTTACAGCCCTAAACCCTCTCTCTACTTACTGCCTCCTCTCCAGCTAGGTGTATATAAGTTTATATAAGGTTTTCTTAGCCTAGCAACACGGAAGTACCACGGAGGGAAGCGTTGACCAACAAGTACTACAACTTCAACCTTAGTCATCCTTGTTGGCTAAAACACTGTTCATCTAGTTTTGCCTTCAATTCATAACAGTTGTATCTGTTTATCTGAAAATCTACAACAGCGATGATTTTTACCATGCAGCAGCAGGCCTTAAATATGGCACTCGCGATATGCTTAGGTGCATTATTTCACCTACCCCTCTCAACAAGGCTTCCAGACTCGGAAAAGCTAGGTAACTTGCCCAAGCACTGGCACTCTGCCGCTGAGTGGTAGCCCTCAGCTTTTGTGGGCAGCTGCGGGTCGCAGGCGACTGAAAGTATGGAGATGGGGGATGCAGGTAGGATCTGCAGAAGCCGTCTCTACCCACCTCGGGGAGCCCCAGTGACAGGCGCTGAGCACGGCGAGGAGCGCGTGGGGCAGGGCGCTGAGCACCAGCTGGGTGAAGCAGTGGCCGGCGGTGTCCCCCTCCCACAGCGGGAGCGGCTGTGCCGCGCTGGTCCCGCAC